GGCATTAAATCATCAAAGATAGTTAAAAGATTTTTTTTTAAATTAATTTAAATAAAAATAAACTGAACATTTTAGAACAAAAAAAGTTTTGAACTGATTTCTGTAAATAAAGTTCTCTTCATTATACTAGTAATACTTATTAAAATATTCAAGTGAGCAATTATCTGTAAAAAAATTCTATTACAAGAGATTTTTTCAGGAAACTTAAAAAGACCAGAAGAAACGGACAAAATCCAGCTGATTTGGCAGCTATGTTAATTGTTTTAAATTTATTTTAGAAAATGAACTGTATATGTATGGACATGAAAATATTGTTTGCACACTATTATATTACCCCATATCTTCAGTAAAAATGAGTTCAATAAAAAACGTTTCTTAATTTACAACGCAAATTTGTGATTAAGATCAGTTCACAACCTACAGTTTTTCCCCCCAACCAACTACCACTAGTTTGTTTTTGTAACAGATTTAAAACATCAAATTTTAAAAAAAAAAATAATAATAATCACTTGAAAGCTATCTTTGAATATCAATACAAAAAGCTCCTGACTATGTAAGGTGTAGGTTTTACTCTTTCTGCCTCTCACCAATGTTATAATTTTTAAGATAAATGATTAAGACAAAAATATTCAAAGTTTATAATAAACTACACAAAAGTGAAAATTATAAATAAGAAATGTTAAAATCTACAAGAGACCACTTGAGCACTTCTTAAATTTGCCTTCCCCAAGGAAAGTTTTATAATCGGAATGTTCTATATTTTAAATTTTTCACCAGGGAGTCTAGTAAGAGGAAGCCTACCCTATTAATAACGTAATTAAAAATATAATTTTGCATTTTATAGTCTGTAAAGAAACACAACGAGTAATCAGAACAACCCGCACTTAATAATATTTTTAAATAATTACCACCCATATTTGAAAAATTTACAAATAAATCAAAACTAAATGGAAAGTTAATGTTGAAAAAAGAAAAAAAAAAAGGAATGGAGATATAAATAAATTTGTTATATTGCTCAATTTTATTTTCCTAACCATTACCAATAGAAGTCAGCTTTCATTTTTAACAGTATTATAACAGCTAAATCCAAACGAAAAAACACTAACAGTCAACGAATGAAATAGAAGAAACTATTCCCCCCCCCCCCACTTCAGCGATAAGTGTGTTACTGTTACAGAAACCCACTATGTTTAGATTCACAACGAACAAAATCCATTACAATTAATCTGCTCGATTTCGCGAGAGTTATTCTGACCTCTGATCTCACCACAAGTGCTTGAAAGAGTTGTTTGACCCAAAAGAAAGACGGAAAAAAAACAGCATTATTGTCTCATTTTTTTTATGCCGCCTCTGATAGACGCCACTTATCGTTAATCAACTTATAATTAATTAAACTAATATAAAGTTATCAAATTATTACAGTTAATCAAAAACTAGTATTAACTAAGAGTTAATCAAAAACGTCAATTTTTAACAATGTTTTTCCACTGTCAAAAAGCTGTTTTTTTGTACTAATTGAGCTAATTTTGGGCAGCACTTTTATTTGCGGTAATAAAACACAAAATAAAATATATAATTGATATTCAATTAGTTACATTGTCCCAAACGAAGTAAAACAAATTAATATGAATTGGAACAATTGTTTCAATTTACATTAATGCGTTTGTCTAATCACCTAGTTAATATATAGAATGTTATTACTTTGTTTGGAACAATGTAACAAATTGAATATAACTTAATTTGACAACATGAGGGAAAAAAAGTCAATTACCAAATTGCGAAATAATGACTAAATATTAAAAACCATTTTTAAATCAGAAAAAAAAAATATTAGAAAATAAGGAAATATTAAGAAAAAAAGTAACCAAACAAAAGAAAAAAATTGGATTATTTACGTAATTTACGAAAGTTTTATAACCTTCCTTTCAAGAAAATTAATTAAGAAAGGGGTTAATTAAGCTAAAGAATTATCGCCCCAAACTATTCCAAAGCAATTAAACTGTCACTCCAAAAGATTAAAAACTTCTCAGCTACGCTGAACGGATAAATATTGCCGTTAGAAAACATTAAACACAAATAGTTTTAACCATGACAATAAAGGTACGATGATTCACGCACTTTTAATAATTACATAAACTATAATTCATTGATACGCTTGCTTAATTGAAAACAACTTCCAAACATAAAAAGAGCAGTTACGAATGAATACCTGCACAAAGTTAGAAGAGCATTAAGTAAGCCAGCTGCAATAATGCAAATTTAATTCTAATTGAACTTAATTTCAACGTAATATAATTTTATTTAATGCTAATAGTTTTTGGTGGTAAAAACATGAATAGGAAATATGATTTTTTTTTTAACATTTGTTTTAATAAACGAAAAATAATGCTTTAATTTCAGTCAGGGGTGATTGTGAGCCCCAGTCGAAATTCCGGAAAATTTCTTGAGTAAAAGAAAATAATAAATAAATAAAAAAGTTTAAACCGAAAAATTAGAAAAAAAATTTAAACAAGGTTTTTTCCTTGTTCTCAATATTTCCTAGTTTACTTAAAATATATTTAAAATTTTACACCTACCTATGATGACCTGGAGAAGCAATTGAAATTTACAAATATGTCTTTCTTTCTTGAGTTTATGATTATAATAACTATTTACTGATAAAAAATCAATATTAATCTTGAATATAAGCTTATAAAGTAGCTCTCTAATAAACAAATAAAATAAACTGCGTTTTTAAGTTCCACCTTTCAAAATTTGATTTCCGAAATGTTTTGTGATCACCGATTTTTTTAAACATATGAACCTTCGATCTCCAGAAACTTCCGGATCACGGTTAACGAAAAATCCAGAAATCCGGATTTTTTCCGGAGCACAATCAGCCCTGATTTCATAGTGCTGCTAAAATTATTTAAACATTTTCAACAGGATAGCATTAAAAATAGCTTTGAAATTTAACGTAATTTTAAAAACAAAATTAATTAATGTTAAAAAAAAACTTTTTAAAAACTAAAGTTTGAAAAGACAATAACATGTCAATGCAAAACATCATATCGAAAGAAAAGTTCTCCAGAAGAAAAAATAAATCATAATTGACTAACGATTTCAACAATAAAGATTTCGAAACTACACATTAAAAAATCGATTGGTGGAGAAAATTCTATCACACACTACATATTTTGTAGAGAAAATATAAAGGTAAGGTGCGTGAAGAAACAAAAAAAATTGTCACCTTTAATAATTGATGGCCTATCATACGCACAAAGAAAATTCTAATTCGTTCACTAAGAAAAACATTAAGAAAACATTTTTCCTTGTTTAATAGTAAATTTAAGAGAGAAAAGCTTTTCTTATTTCTAAAAAAAAATTCACTAGGATAAACAATTTGAATAAATTATGAAGTGAATTAGCAGTGCTCTTTGTTAAGATGATTGCAATGCAAAAAATGTCAAGTTATCACGGCACATTTAGCATGCTTTTCATTTATTTATTTTTTTTACAGTATCATGATTTACAGCACTACGAGCAGCACGTGAAGCGTGAAGACCAGTTGTTATGGAAACCTTGTTTTTTTTGCAATAACTCTATTTTTCATTCTAAAAATTGATTATCTACCTAACAATAACGCTTAAATGATTTTCCCTCTTTGGATTTTTTAATGCATGGCGCGTGCATATGAATCGAGTTATTTTTAATTGAGGGTGAAATTTTTATTTTCAAAATCTCTTTCACCATGTTAACTATTATAAATTAAAGAAAATAGTTACTACAAAGGAAATTGTATTGATTGTATTTAAATATCATTTTTTTAATTGAATTATTAAAAAAATTAATTTCATAGCCCTTCACCAAGTAGGAATTTATATTTCTTTCTAATAAATTGCTTCTTAGAATGGTTCATAGAATTTTAACAAATACAGATGACGAATTTTAACAGTCACATATGATGACGATGTTTTTATGAAAGTTCTGTTTCCTCAAAATCAAAATTTCAAATATTCCATGTTACACAAATATTCGATGCACTAAAAATTCGTCTGATTTATATCAATCGAATACACTTCTTCACTTATTAATCTTAATCAAATGTACTGAATATTTAGTTCACAGCTTTTCTATACATTTACCTTCTTTTAAATCAATATTTCTAACTAACGCATTTATTACACAATACACAAATTGATCAACAACAAAAAAAAAGGAAAAAAAAGAGAGAAGTAAAAAAGGGTTAATTTCCCAGATAAAAACATTTCAAAATCGATTGAAGATCAAAATGATCGTTTGACGAATAGATTAGAGCAATAATTTTGACATGAATTAATGGTCATCCCAAAGAACCTGTCTAGAAACAAATTGTGAACTAAGAGCATTTTGATTTTTAAAAAAATTGATTGACATTATTTGTTTAATGGCGGGAAACAATTTATTTTGAAAGTCATTAATCTAAAAAAAAAAATTAAGAAAAAAGAAATCAAACCTTGAAGTGCATATAAACAATGCGCAGATATTGCTCTTCTCACTTTCAATACTATACTGAGCAATAAAAGAACTCAGATTAATATATAAATAATAGATTTAATATAGAATTAATATATATATATTTATACGGTGAAACAAAATACTGGTTTCGATAATAAATAAACAATAGCATTTCGTTAATTTAAAGCATTATTTTTAACCATTACTACATTATTTTTCAACTTTTAAAAATATCTTAAATGTTGATATTTATAGCGGGGGGAGGGGGCAATATTAAAACTTGACAGAACTATTTTTAATCCTTTAGATAAGTTTAATGACACTTAAAAAAATAATTAATAAAAAGCTAACTACCAATTTCTTTCTTTTTTTTTCGTATAAAAACTCACAACATAATCACCTATTTTAGAATATCCATTAATTTTGGGAAAAAAACCTAACCTGACACACGACAAAAAAATATAAATAAATAAATAAAATTTTGAAAAAAATCTATTTTTTTAACAAAACAAAAATTAACTTACCGTTTGGCGGAAGCTCTCTGATCGACCTATTGACGAAGCACTCTTCTTGTTGCTGCTGAAACGAGGAAACATGATTAGAGTGATAATCCCATAACTGAACAACACAAGGCATCTTTTTTAGAATCCACTAGGAATCAGAACAGCCGCGAATATTCATTTAAATTTAATAAACATCCACTAGCATTCAGCGAACAATTTTGCACGGCAGACATTCGCATAAGGAACGCGCACTGCAATATTTCTTTTTGTTTTCAAAAAAGTAGAGGAGACAGGAAATTCGAAAGTCGGATGTATAAGCTCTACCGCATAAAACACGTTCTCTTCAGTCAATGCTGTGAGGGTGGAGGATGCAAGGGCGAAGAAGAGGGCGGCGGTCAGAAGGATGGATGTTGTGACTGTAGACAGGGGGGGAAGAGAGTGTAGACTTCAGAAACGCCGAAAAGGGTGGGATGGATATTGAATATTAATTAAGCCTGCATGGACAAAAAAGATCGCGTGCAATGCAGAGGAAGAGCAAAGAAGAATTGATTCGATAAGGTAGTGGATAGGTGTAAATATTTTGTGCTTTTAATTGAATAATTAGGAGAAATATTTATTATTTTCATTAAAAAGAATAGCAAAAGTTGCGGATCGGTTAAAATAAATCATTTGTGGAAAATTTTAATTCTTTGTGAAATAATAAAATTTGTAAATAACATGTAACGTAAACATAAAAAAATAAAAATTTAAATGTTTTTGGCTTAAAAATTTGTCGAAAAAAAATCACATTTTTTAAATAAAATAATTTAAATTGTGGACAAGTGTAAATATTTAAAGTTTTTTGCAGAATAATTTTTAAAAAAATTCTATTTATTAAAAAAAAAATTAAGTGTTTAATCAGAAAAATTAATTTGTAGCTAATTTGATTAATTTTGCTAATTTGATTGATTTGATAATAAAATCAAAATTTACAAATAAAATGCGTTAGAAATCGTGACAAATTTAATAATGCAGATTTTAAGTTTTTAGGGGGATATTTCCGTACCGTGATCTGTCGCGCAAACTACAATCGCCAAGGTGCCAAATAGATTTTAAACCAACAAATTAAATTAATTTAATTTAAATTATCAAAAAAAAAAAATTTTCAGTTTCTAGCGGATACTGCTCGGAAGTTGCCACAACTTGACGATTATTCTACCAAAGATCAGATAAGGAAATCTCCCCACTTTTAGCATATTTAATTTAGAAAAAACAAAACTAATTATTAAATAAAAATTTAAACAAATTTTTATGAAAACTAATTATCATACTTTAAATTCTAACTGATATAAATAATATTTTTCTTTGGATATAAAATAAAAGTGTATATTAAACACTAAGTAATAATATCCTATCAAAAATTTGTAAACAAAAAATTATATATAGATAAAATAAAAATAAATAAAGCATTAATAGAAAAAAGGGAAGTAAACTGTTTATGCATTGGGGGTAATTAATAAGATATGTCGAGAACAGAAATATTTATAAAAAAAAATAATTAAACAATATCAAGTGCGCACTTCAGCCTGGGATATACTCACATTATTTAATCATTATGCAAAATCAATTCCACTTTGAAAAGGTTAAAAAGTATTAACTATTAAAAAAAAAAGGTAGAGGTTTTTTTCTTACATTTTATTTTACGTATCCTAATAGTTTGAACTTTTGCAACTTTTTCAGTAATCCTCCCTGTGTCCCATTGTAATAATATAAAATGTTTTAATTCATCAGTACTCTTTATTTCAATTGAATGTTTTTCAGAAAAACAAAATCAAAACGTACCTATAATATATTTTTTCTTCAATAAACCGATGTTTATTGAAGAAAAAAAAATTTATGAATCCGTATAAATTTAAACTTTCAAACAAAACAAAAAATCTTAGAAGCCTAAACTTCAGTGTCTCACTTTGGTAAGTTAAATTTCATTCCAATCATTACTGACAGTTCAAGTACAGACAAGCATAATTAAAAAAGCTACCAGCATTGTGTTCATGTCTCAATTTTCTAAAGTTATAAAAATCGTAAAACTGTTCAAGTCTAATTCAAATTAAACTGTGTAGATTCAATTTTATGTGTTAATAAAATTGTCTTAAGTTTCATTTTATACTTAAGTAAAATTAAATTTAAGACTCGGTAAAATTAAACTGTATTAAGCTCCATTTTAAGTTTAAGTGAAATTAAATTGTTTTAAGTCTTACATGTAAATAAAAATTTAATGTAAATTCTTACATTAATATAAGAATTTAAAAAAATTTTAAAAAAACATGCTAAATAAATTTCTAAAATTAAAACAATTCATCCTTCCTTAATCCCAGCCAAGTGAACACTATAACCTTAGATAAACTGGCGGTAATTTTACAAAAATAAATTAGTGACCGATTCCCTTTGAAACCTGATTATTTTAACTACATTACTACTTTTAAGGTTATATGTCAATTTAGCGTCATTGTGGATATGCCTTCTCGAATTTCGAAATCAGAAAATAAAATATGAACGTCATCATGATTTTTCGTTCTTTTTTTTTTTTTTAATGAAAAACTATGAAGTAAATTTGCTTGCAAAATATTAAGCGATATTTATTCAAAACCTAATTTTTTAATTATTTATAAATTTTTACTACATTTCCAAAAATATTATATGATAGTAATCAATAATATTAGTACTGCTAATAGTATTCAAAACTTTAGCATGAAGAAAACACGTCATTGACAATTTTAACGTGCATAAAAAATGTGATAGCATAATATTGAATAATATCCCACAATTTTATTTCATATTAATTTTATTACTCCGAAAAAAAAATATTTTTTTTATTTGAACACCCATTATTTTAATTAAACAACATCGCACAATAACCTAATGATTTAGATGAATTAGAAATTTTTTTTCTCCTTTTAACTCAATATTGTGGAACATTTTGATCACCACACATGAACACAATTGCACGTAAAAATCATTAGAATGTTTTGAATGGAAATTATTAGAAGTTTCTTCTCTTTTTTAAGGTTAAAAAAAAAGGTTTAAAAAAAAAAGCTAAGAAATGAAAGCGAGAACCATAATGGGTACCTTGAGACAATTATGAAAGCCATGTTTACTTAAAATGTCTGGGTTAAAAGATGGGAGACAATAATTTATCACACCCTGTATATATAAAATATATGCACTAAAATCAATAACCAAGATCAACAAATTGTTTTGAAACTGAATGCAGGAACATGAAGAAAACTAGAGTCAAAAAGAGTGGATAAGAAAAATAGCAATGTCTGGAACAGAAAAAAAAGAAGGAAAAAAAGAAAGAAAGAAAAAGAGAGAGACATAGACTGAGAAATCCAATTTCCTGTGATAAAATGCTATTTCCGATAATACACAATCTTCCATAATAATGTGAATTCACAACTGTTGTCCCTTTATATAGACGTACAAAAATTTCTCCTATCAAACTAGCTTGTATATTTTTTTTCAACCACACAAATTTATTGATTTTTAAGGAAAAAATATTGACATGTCCAATATCATAAAACTTAAATGTATTCAAAACAAAATACACAGTAAGAAAGATATTTGTAGTAATATTTGAAACAGTAATATTTTTTTTAAGAATAAAGACAAAGAAAAATAGCAATACAAATATTTTAAGTGAAAAATCTGGGGGGGAAATTGGAAAAATAATGCCTTTAACCATTAGTATTATCGATATCAAGAGTTGCTAACTTGTAATTGCTCGCAACCAAATTGGAAACTTAAGTCTTGATTGTGGACCAATTTTTACAAAATTCTGGATACAGATAGCTTACAGTATGAAAAATCTATATACTTCAGTTAAAACAAAGGTTTAATCATTCAAATTGCTTAAGGAGTCAATTTAACCTCAGTACATTTTTTTTTTTAAATAATTTTTTGCTTTAAACTTTCAAAAACTAATATTATTTGTCAAAAGTTCAAAAAAATTCTGGAAAATGTCAAATTTTAAATTTCTAATGCTTTTTTGTTTTATTAAAAATAACTTTCTTTTGCCTAAAAAAGATCATAATTTTTTAAATAATGTATATATAACGAGGAAAGTTAAAGTTATTGAATATATAAGCAAAAAAATAATAATCCATTATTTTATTCATTTTTAGTTAATATAAGCCTTTAAAACTTTCTTTACAATTAAAAAAAAATGAATTGCTACTTACAAAGTAACTAACTTAAATACTTACTATTAAAATGTTACAAACATGAAATGGGTCAGACTCACTTGTTTTTCTTTTTAATTAAAATTTGAAAATAATAAAGCAATAAAATATTTTTAAAATTTTTTTTTAGTTCTTTTTAAAGTTTAAGAAAAAGGTTTAACTAAATTATGCAAGATAATGAAACTGGATTCAATTTTTTAAATATGTGAAGGTAATAAATATATTTTATTTAATTTTATTTACTCACCTTTCTTTTTAATCATTTACTCACATTGTTTAGTAAATTGCGTCCATTAAAATTAGTATTTCTAAGCTGACTATAGAGTAAAAACCTTTCTTTTTTTTGATGCACTAAATGGTGATTTTGATTTTATACTCATTATTCAGTCAACTAGCTATTCAAGATACAAGTATTTGATATTCCACTGATTGATTATTCAGCCAAAGAATAATTCATTTTATCCTAGCCAAAGTTTAAAAAGCATAGGGTGCAACTCTGAATTGGTTTAATAAATTTCCTGCAAACTATTTAATAGGAATTCAAAAAAAAAAAAGCATATGACTTTTTATAGACATATATTCACTTAAAAATAAAATTGCGGTCACTGCAATGACTAACAGTAGATGTTACTATGCAGACCATTAAATAGATTGAGCATCTTATTGCTCATATGCCTGCCAGTATTCATTTGTACATTTGATAAAATCGTGTAACCAATCAGTTCCTTATTTTACTGTTGTACTCATTTTACCGAAATACATCTTTGATTTATAAGAGTTATACATTGAACTACTGCAACGTAAAATTAAATTGCAAGCAAAACTCAGTTTTTATCCTTCAGAGTTAATAAAAAACACA